TATTACATACATTTGCAACCACACACACTATCATACACACGTACACACACACATGAGGAATTTGTGATGGCGCTTTAGTAGCTATATTCCAAATAGTAGCTGTGTTTCATTTTATCTATGTACACCGTATTTTTTTCTCACAAATATACATATCTATACACATAAATGCTTATGCCTATTCATGTATCAGAAATGTATTATCTGAATAAGTCTTTATTTTGTACAGATTAATTTAAATGTAAATTTGAGATGTCGTTTGCATGTAATGCAAATAGGTCCAGTAAGACTACTTTCATTTGATAACAGTTATTTTATGCATTCAAAGAATGTTTAGCTTTATGTATTGGTGTTGTATCAAAGCAAATTGCTCAGTGCTTGGACCGGTCTTCCCTTTCCTAAATTTCCCTTTCAATAGCCATAAATCAAGTAATTTTGGGAAGTTATTTGTATTTTGTATACAAGTGCATGCATGTGTGGTTGCGTACATGCATGCATATGTATATGTATAGATATATGTGTATATATGTAAATGTATCTATATGTATATGCAGATATATATGATATATAATATATACATATATATATATATATATATATATATATATATATATATATATATATATATATATATATATATATATATATATATATATATATATTATATATATACATATATATATATATTATATATATGCATATATATATATATATATATATATATATATATATATATATATATATATATATATATATTATATATATACATATATATATATATTATATATATGCATATATATATATATATATATATATATATATATATATATATATATATATATATATATATATATATATATATATACATATATATATATATATATATATATATATATATATATATATATATATATATATATATATATATATACATATATATACATATATATATATATATTATATATATACATATATATACATTTATATACATTTATACATATAGATTTACACATTATATATATATATATATATATATATATATATATATATATATATATATATATATATATATATATATATATATATATATATAAAAATTGTATGTATGTATGTATTTGTTTATTTATTTATTTATGAGTGTTTGAGTTGGGTTGTGTTCATGTGTAAAATATAATGTACAAGTAGTCCTCAATTTACGGTAGGGTTTTCTTTCTGAATTCATACTGTGAGATGATGTAATTTAACACAAGACAGGTATTTCTTTAAGAAATAAATAAAAAAGGTAGGATGCATTCCCCAGTTGTCCACCCCAGCCTCACAACTCACAAAATGTTGGAAAATAACTGAATTTAGTAAAATAAAATACTTTTAAATAGATTACAGAAATTGTGTAAAGTATTATAATCAGTAATATGTGTATATGTATATATGTAAGTATGTATGTATAAGGGAAAACCTCACATTTGATTAGTAATAAGTACTAAAAAAAATAAATTATTAAGCAAAGTAAAGTATATATAATAGGCAGTAAATACAGTAGAGCCTCTACATCATTTTTCTAAGAAATGTTCTCAAATACTATGAAAGGAACTCAAGGAGGGCACAGGAATCTTTGAATCTTCTTCCTTTTCTTATAGATAGTGAGAGCAAGATTATTGCTGAGCTGGTTCATTTCCAAGTTACAAGGACATTTACCCATGATTATATCACTTTTGTCAGTTGGTAACTAACCCTCCTCCCCATCAGATGCACATACATCCCTTAGATGCATTGACAGTAACTTGCACAAAGCCAAATGCTTAGGCTGAAGAATGACAGCTTAACAACACAGGTTGGATGGACTGGTATGTGTTGACATGCATCATTTTCATCTATTTTTTTTCTTTTCTGATTATGTCAAATTTGATTTTAGAGATAATATGGTCATCAACTATGAACTTTTGCAATATGTGATACAGTGTAGCAATTAGTTAAGATCACCAAATATGTAAACACCAAATGCAAAAATGCCAAAGGTGAGACTTTACTGTATTTAAATAATATGTATAATTCATAAATATTCACATATTTAACTATATGTATATATGCATAAATGTATATAAGTATATATGAATACATGTGAATTATTATGCATAATATAAGTACACTCACTCACTCACTCACTCACTCTCTCACTCTCTCACTCTCTCACTCTCTCACTCTCTCACTCTCTCACTCTCTCACTCTCTCACTCTCTCACTCTCTCACTCTCTCACTCTCTCACTCTCTCACTCTCTCACTCTCTCACTCTCTCACTCTCTCACTCTCTCTCTCTCTCTCTCTCCTCTCCTCTCCTCTCTCTCTCCTCTCTCTCTCTCTCTCTCTCTCTCTCTCTCTCTCTCTCTCTCTCTCTCTCTCTCTCTCATTCACTCACCCACTCACTCACTCACCCACTCACCCACTCACTCACTCACTCACTCACTCACTCACTCACTCACTCACTCACTCACTCACTCACTCACTCACTCACTCACTCACTCACACACACACACACACACACACACACACACACACACACACACACACACACACACACACACACACACACACACACACACACACTCTTCTATGTAAGTCATTATGCAGTTTTTAATGTTTTTAATAGAAATTCCCACTTTTGATGTCAACATGGTATAATTTGTTCTATTAATCAGCTATTAACATCATTAACTTTATGGTAAATATTGTTTGGATTAATGTTATTACTGATCACTTTATTATTATTATTATAAGTTTTTTACATATATTTTAACTCTCTTTTACGTATCGTCATCGTCATCGTCATCGTCATCGTCATCGTCATCGTCATCGTCATCGTCATCGTCATCGTCATCGTCATCATCATTGTCATCGTCATCATCATCATCCTTCTTCTTCTTCTTCTTGTGATTATTATTTCATTACATCATAATATTTATGTTATGATAATAGGTATTACAAGTATAAGGATTAATTGAATAATTTATTCTTTCAAGCAGGGAGAACAAACAAGAGAAAGTCAGAGTAACACTTTAGGAAGAGATTTTCAGTGGAAGAGGCAGTATTAGTCAGTTGTCATACAGTTTATTAAGTTTACAAGTTTATCATGCCAAGCACTTCAATAGATTTCCAAGTGATGAACAGAAAGAAGTGGAAAGGCATGACTGCCACTGTCATTGGATGACACGGCACTAAACTAGACTTGACAGTTTGAAGTGATATACATACATTATGGAATGATATTATAATGATATAACATATAATATATATCTTGTTCAGAGGAATTCTATTAGCTAGCAGTATTTGCTTTTATGGAAGGGTATTTTTTTTAATTTTTTTAGTAATTAGCTTTCTTTTATATAGTTTTTATTTTGTATAGATGTTGAAATACTGACTCAACTTTTTCAAGAACTGATTATTGTATAGCTCTGCATCACTGTTATCGTTATTTGCACTGTTCATACTGTTGTTTTGCCTTGCCTTGATCACTCTTCATATTTCATCAATGTGTTTCTTATTCAGTGTTCATTACACCTAGGATCCATTTTTTTTGTCACATTCCACTTCTTTTCAGTAATCTATTAAATATAAAGGTTGGTTCTTCATTAAAAGGCAGATTTCTTGCAAATGTTATATTGAATTTTACTAGTTTATCTGAGTATGGATTAGGAATTGCTTCATGTTTTAAAAAAGAATAGAAGAAAATGTTATGTAAAGTGGGTTGTTACTCACCCCTATGGACACTGCTTTTATCTATACTCTACTGGGCCATGTGTAGAGCACTGTACACTGTAAGCCACTCAAATGAAAAATTAAAAGCACAGAAAACATGTTTTCCCCATTATCTATGATTTTGGGTACAGCTTACATTATATTTAATTAAATGAGTCTAAAAAGAGACCTTAAGCTTGCTTTGGAGAGTTGTAACTCCTCATTGACCATAGTCAGGGCCAAGCAAGTGTTCAACTCTTTAATGGGCAAAACACAGAACAGGTTTGACTGCAGGTGGTATGGATACTCGCCACTGTAAAAATAGACGCCACCTGGCATGAATGGATCACACAAAACGTAAGACTTTTGTGGAGTCAAAGAAAAGATCAACTGTGTCACATTTTTCATATGTTTATGTGTCAGATAATATCTATTAGGCAGACAATATCTACACTTTCTTTTTTAACTTATTTACCAATATCTTTATAATTCTTGGTAATGACCTCTTTCTTTTTGTTAATGTACAAAAGATTGTTGATATATTTTTTGTAGAAGTGTTTAAAATTCATAGTATTAATAGGTATTCAACCATCTTTTGTGACTGGTATGTTGGATCATGTGTGGTATGCAATATAATGTTACTTTAAAATTGTATTTTATTTTTTTCTTTAACTCTTCTCATCTTTTCTATGAGTATTTTCAGGTTCTTCTAATCTTTACAGTTAGTTCATTTTTAAGGAGTGGCAACCATTAGAATAAGAACCTACTCAGGCTGGCATAATATTATTGAATATTGAAAGAGATTAAGAAATGTTGTTTCCAGTGTTAGAGGATTAGCTGTAAGTCATTTACTGCAAAATACATTAAAATGTTGTGCATATGGCATGCATCTTAGATCTGAGATTCCATAGAAAAAAAAACATACACCGTCCCCCACAAAAAAAAGGAAAAAAATGAAACTGAATAATAGGAAAGCTAGAAGTTGCTAGTGGATATAAACATCCCTTGAAAGTCCAGTTTGGGTCTCAGGGTTTAAACAGATGTTATGTTGAAGCTTGAATGAGTGAATTTGGTAGATTAGAAAAATCAGTGAACCATTTCTTTTTTTAAAGTCATGGGAGGTTCTTCCAAAATGAGTTAAGTATGATTATTATAGAACTTGGTTTAAACTTCTAGTCTACTTTCAAGTTTGAACATTATGCAATTAGGGTTTAGATGAATTTTATTGGTATTTATTTAATTGATGAAAATCCTGTATATTTAACTGAAGGAAT